TATTTAAAACATTGATGCCAGGTAGAAGGCACAACTCCATATTCATGCAACCAAGGACGTCCCAACAACATGTTATAGGAGGTTCTGGCATCTATCACATGGAAAAGAGCATTTGAAGTCATCTCCCCGATTACTAACTTCAATCTAATTATGCCTAGAGCTCGTTGCCCCCCTTGGTTAAAGCCTTGAATCATCAAACGGCTATTTGAGAGTTCATCCATCGGGACTTCCAGTTCTTTTAGAGTGCGTAGAGATAAAATGTTCACTGCAGAACCTTCATCTATCAATATGCGATTCACCTTTTTCTCACGAGTGTAACCAGTTACGAATAAAGGCCTATTATGGGGTTTTGAGCCCAACATCAAGTCTTCATCCGTGAAGGTGACTGCCGCATCATTGTCTTCATGATCACATCGTTCTTTGTCATCAGTTGACTCATCATCACTTGGGACATCATCTTGCTCGCTTGTCACATTACATGAGAAACTTTCATATCCTTCCTCGCAGTTCACTATTGAAGCAAAGTTCGCAGTGCCTTTGTCTTCTTCAAGCGATATCTTGCCTTGTCGTGCCAACTGCATAACTCTATCTTTGAAGACGAAACAATCTTCGATGGGATGACTTACCAAACGATGATACTTGCAGTATTTTGGGTTGTCAACTTGTCCCGCTTCTTCAGGTCGTTTCATCTCCGGCAGTTCGATAAGTTGTTCTCGAATCAAGTCGTCAAAAATTCCAGAAACATCAGAGTCAAGGAAAGGATATTGTTTGGCTTGCATCTCTTTCAAGGTTAACTTTCTCTGCCCCCTGTCTTGAGGGACTTCTTTCTTTTCCACAACTTTTTCACTTGTGTTTCCCTTGAGTTTGATGGGTCTTGCATTGGCCGTCATTGCTTCCTTCACCTCTTTGTTAGGTGCTTTAGAGGAAAACTTGCCCCCTTTCTTGGCTTCATTTCGGTCCTTGAATCTTTGAGGCTCATGGACAGGTGGATTCTTGACTCCGCTTGCAGACATGCTTAACTCCATATCATGTGCGCGAGTGGCCAACTCTTCAAAAGACTTAGGTTGAATTCCTTGCAGAATGTATCGGAGACCCCAATGCATCCCTTGAGTGCACATTTCAATAGCAGAAGCTTCAGACAGTCGATCCTTGCAATTGAGGCTTAGATTTTTCCATCGGTTGATGTAGTCAATAACAGGCTCTTCATCCCACTGCTTTGTAGAAGTGAGCTCAATCATGCTGACCGTCCTTCGTGTGCTGTAGAAACGATTGAGAAACTCTTGCTCTAGTTGCTCCCAACTATCAATAAAATTTGCCTCCAAGTCGGTGTACCACTCAAACGCATTTCCCTTCAATGATCGCACAAACTGTTTCACCAGACGATCTCCATATGTTCCAGCATCATTGCAAGTCTCAATGAAGTGAGCTATGTGCTGCTTCGGGCTTCCTTTACCATCAAACTGTTGAAATTTTGGCGGTTGATATCCAGTAGGCATCTTCAAGCTATCAATTCTTTGGGTGTATGGCTTCGAATAAGTTAAAGACGACTTGGAGCCTACATCAAATTTGTCCTTGATGGTTCCCATGATGAATTCTTTGAGTTGGTCAGTTGGTATGAGTCCACTTGCAGAAACATGGATTTCTGACGTAGTCTTCTCTTTTCAGTTTGCTTCACCTCATCTTCTTTAGAAGTTTCTTCATCTTCATGTGTTTCATCTTGCTTGCCCCCAGCACGGCTAGTCTCAGCCTTGTCGACCTTTTCTACCAGCTTTATCATGGAGTCTTGATCCTGGACATGTTTCATCAATGCCTCCATTGTTTTCGCCATGGTTGCAAGTTGCTCTTCAATGATTGATGCGTTCGTCATCATAACAAGTGCCTCCATTGAGAAAGGTGTTGATGAAACATCGTCTCTTAAATCTTCTTCTTGGTTCAAAGGCGACATGTTTCCCTCAACTTGGCGAGAATTTACTTCCAGAGATACACTCTTGTTTTTTGCCATGCTTCTTGTTGTGACACCAACACTTTCACTTGCAGAACTTGAAGAAGTTGACTTGGGAGGAGTCATCGTTGCACTTAGATATCTTGAAGAAAAAAGATGAGAGGTAGAGATCGTCCCACTGGGCGTGCCAGAAATTTGTAACGCAAATTTCTTATTATTGAATTAATAAACACGAGAACTTCGTACAAATGGATTTCAACGGATCAAATGAAATAAAGTGGATTCTAAATCTCTATTATTCCTCTGATTAATTTCTTCAAGAACAATCTTCAAGTGGATTTGAGACTTTTGGAGACGAATCTTCAGTTTGATCTCCGCCGGTCTTGAATTTAGATTTAAATAACGTTTCTTCGAGGGCTTGACAGCTTGATCTCGAATCGAACGTCTTGATTTCCCAAGAATGTGAAGAACATGAGTCATTGGTTTTCGTCGCAAAGTTGATATTCGATCTTCTCTACGCCGGATTTGACTTTAATAACGTAATTCGGAGGCTTGGTAGCTTGTTTCCAGATTGAACGTCGGTCTTGAGCTTGAATGCGCTTGAATCTTCCTTCGAATCTTCAAGAACGCCTTTGGATCTTCAAGAACACTTGAATCTCGTTGAGAGAATTCTCTAGAGCTCTTGAACTTGGAACTTGAAATATGAATATGAATTGTGATTTTCACCTTAGGGAGGGTCCCTATTTATAGGTGTTAGGAGAGAGAGTCTTGGAAAAGAAGACTTCATTTTGATTGGTCCGTAATTTTCAATATTTATTTATTAAAGAGATAATTAGAAGATGGACTCTTGGAAAAGAAGACTTCAATTTGATTGGTCCATAATTTCCAATATTTATTTATTAAAGAGATAATTAGAAGATGGACTCTTGGAAAAGAAGACTTCAATTTGACTGGTCCATGAATTTCCACTTATTTATCTCTTCAATAATTATTAAAGAAATAATTATTTATTTTACTCTCCAAGAAAATGACATGTGGCATTCTTTAATTGGCCTTCAAAATATACATGTGGCATTCTTTAATTGGCCAACAATATATATTAAATAATCAATTAATTAACTATTTAATTTAGGAATTAAAATTTGATTAATTTCCGAAATAAAATAGAAAATTATTAAATTGATTATAACATGGAATTTGACACTTGTCGCCATTTTATTGGCTCAAAATTTATATGTCTACACATGTATATGGCTTTTAAGATTTAAGGAGGGCATTTGCTTGTCGTAGCTTTGTTAATGAGTAGTTGAGCCTCAGTTTGGTCTTCATTGTTTCTTGCTGCGAGTTAAGTTTAAAGTTCAGCAAATAAGAGTTAATAATATGCTTGTTTCTGGTGCTAAATTGAGATGTATTTGTGCTGAGTTTGTGGCTTGAAAATCTCAGTCATAAGTGGTTTAAAGAGGCATGCTAGAATTATTATGTTTTATTTGATTTTTAAATCATGTTTAAGTCTTTTTTTTTTGTGGCAGTTGTGTTGAGGCCTATAGTGTTCAAAATTGGCTGAACCCCTTTTAGTTTTGTTTTGGACATGAGTTTGTTTATGCTGTTGAGCCTTGTTATATGTTTATATGTTGAACTTGCTGTTGAACACCAATTTTTATGTTCAAATTTAGTAGCCCTTAGATGTGTTTATGTTGGGTAAAATTATTGAAGGAGAAGAGGTCATCCCTTGTTCTTTTGCCTTAATTGTTCTAGCATGCTGAGCTCTTTTGACGTAATATTTATGCCGTGAGTAAGTGACTGATCAGAGCTTTTAGATCAGTATTTTGAGCCTTAAAATCAGATTAAAGAGAATGCCTCAATTATGACAAGTCAAGAAGAGAAGTTAGAATTTATGTGATTTTATGTGTTTATTTTGGTTACATTATGTGCTCGTATCTGCAATATGTGCCTTACGTGCTTTAATTGTTGGTTATTCCTTTTAATCAAAACTCTAATAATAATAAGGTAAAAATATTTAAATTGTAGATTAAGAGGAGTCGAGCCCTCAATCGGACGCACGTGCATTCACTCATTTCAGTCAGTCAGTAAGTTTAAAGGTGGGTTTCTATACTATGGTTTATTCTATATGAATATGTGGTAGTATAGTTTTTATATGCATGTGATTGTGGGCCGGTGGGCCGAATGTGCTTTGTGAGAATTTACCTGGAGGCTTGAAATAAGAGCTAATAAGCAATTAAGGTTTCTACTAGCGAGATCGGTTGATGCCAAATGCACTAGTAGAGTTACTTATTAGTGGGATCGACGACAGCCGAATGCACTAGTAAGTGACCACACCTATGTTCACGAACTTAGGTTTAATGGCGTATAATAGCTAATTAGCCGGGTAGACACTAGAGGCTTGAAATGAGAGTCAATTAGTGGGGTCTACTTGGGGGCTTGAAGCCAGGATGATATCAGTCAGTGGTGAAACACTAAGCTTTACATGTTCATGTAATTGTTATCCTAACTTTGCTTATATCGAATCAATGCATATTATGGTTCCTTCACTAGGTAAGTGGAATGCTCACCTCTTTTGTTTCCACACTTCGTGATTGCGTTGGTGCCAAACGCAATGGCGAGGGTGGTTGTTTATGTATGGTTTTAAGTTATTTATGAATTTTGAGACAAGTTACATTTTTTATATTTTCGCTAAATGTTTATGAAAATCTTTATCAGACGAATGTTTTAGACACTGTTATATTTTCCAAATTTTTCAAATGTGGTGGAAATTTTAATTATCCTTTGTTTGTTTGAAAGGAAAAAGTTTTCGAGTAATGCCCGAATAATAGTTTTAGAAAATTTTCTCCAAATAAGTTCATATTATTTATGAAAAATCTTGTTCTTTCTTAAATAAATAACCGGGGTGTTACAAATGTCATGATCGTTCCTTTATTATATAACTGAATTTGAATACAAAATTGCCTTTTAAAAAGAACAGAAATAATAAAGTCCATTGCACTGGTACTGTATTGTTAAAAGAGTAATGAGAAGTTTAAAAAAGATAGAGAGCGTCATTATTTCAATAAATTATAGTTAGGGTAATAAATTGGGTTTATATTGAAGTGTCCGATCCAGTTTGACCAGCTGAGTAGGCATTGCTCCAAACCACTTGTGTGGCTTGGGTTTAGGCCAATATCTGACCTGACCCACAGATCATCCCTCAATTACCCTACTCAAGAGTTCTCTATCGCCGGCGGAAGCAAAAGCGCACCTTCTCCGCCAACTGCCACCAGTGTTTCTCAAAATTATCCATGAGGATTTTTATGCTTAACCCGACATTGTTTTCTTTTGTTTTACAGGCACTGTTACTTGAGAATACATTCCTGGTGCAAAATTCAATTTATTGAAATAAGACCTGTATAAGGCGGCGTTCCAAGTAATGAAGATGTATGTGTATCCATAGTTTACTTGCGCTTACAGGGGATTCTCACTCTAAACTCATGTTTTGCTACTACTCACAGCGTAATTTGAGATTCTTGCTTTCAGTGTAATAAATTGTTTCACTTATTGCAGACTTGATGCTAGTAGTGGTGCTCTTACTAATTTTGAGGTGCTTCATCTGTTGAGATCAAGAGGGGCTGGAAAAGATCTGTCTCGTGTCATTGCATCTGTTTCACCATCTGAATACAAGGTTGCCTTTTTGCCTCAAATTTTTCAGTTCTGTTTGCGGTTTTTAGAATAGGTTAATTAAAGAATTTCAGTTTCCATTTTCCATCTTAGGTTTTTGATTATTTGGAGCAGACAGCCGCCTGCAACCAAACGATTGATATCATTAATAGATCTTATGATGAGTTGAGAAGGTGTGAGCTTGCCAAGGCTGAGATTCTTAATATTATCAATATGAGGCCAGCATCTGCAGTTGAGGTTTACCCGGTAATTCTCTCTTCTATTATCTTTTATTATATTCATGCTATGGTTATTGTTTAGATGTCTATTCATGTGTGTATTTCCTTATCTATAAATTTCTAGATTCATTCTCCCTTGTTAAATTAGTACACAAATACCATTTTTTTTACCTTGAAATTGAAGAACTTCATTGACATTGAAATACCCTTTTTTGAGACATTTGGCCTTCATAAATGCTTGCTAAATCAAACACCTTTTTGCGGTCCAGATAAATTACTCTGCCTTCTAAGCTGGCAACGACTTACATTGTCGAGCTTACTTGGTTTCTGTTTCATGTATTAGGAAAAAAGAGAAATAAAGGAACATTTTGTTACTTGAAATTGTAACTTTTAGTTATGTTTCATGGTGCAGTGAAACTGCTTGCGTACAAATGGAACCTAATGGCTACAAGTAGATGTAAAGAGAAGTGTCTGGTGACTAAAATATTATAATAATAATAATAAACTTAACAAGACAAGTATCTGGATAAATTAAAAGATCCAAACCAATGGCTTATGAGTAAACAACCCAAGTATTGGCCTTTACAATAATATAAAAGAGTTATATTACATACGAAATATATAATAAGAACCAGATACCTAAGCTGGTGGTAAGCGGATTACACCATGCTTTAGCACAATAACAATGAAAGTCAGTTATTATTTTGAAAATTGCACATAAAATTGTCTTGTGTTTTAGACATTTACTAATTAGTTTAATAAAGTAACAACTTGTGGTCTCTCATGTATTCATTTTGTTAATCTCTGTAGAATGTGAGATTATTTGTTTTTATGAGGGTTACAACCATTGTGATGCTTAATACTAGATCATTTCCTAGGTCATCCTCTGGATCTGTCGATATAATAAAATCAGTTTCAGACTTTCTGCAGCACTCTTATTTTTCATTGATAAGCAAGCAAGACCCATTTCATATCATTTCCCATGGCTACGGACTTACCTTTAAGTTGCTTAGTAATCAATCACCTATTAACATATGCTTTTATTTATATTCAAAATATAAACAAAATATCATTTATGCTCATTTCAGATTATAGAAGATTGTGAGTCGCGGATGGAAGACAAAATAGATGAGCTTGTGGAGACCATCATGCGGATTTTGCCGCCTCATCCTTTACAAAAAGAAGAGCCTGTTCAGGAAAGTGTGGAGAACAATGGAGAAACTGAAAATTGAAAACTGTTTAATTGTGTCTTCTTTTGGTTTAGTTCTAGCGAAAAGACTGGTGGATAAACTGATTGGAGATTGGATAGAGTTTTCTGATTTCTGTTGATATTTGGTCTGTCTTGCTTCAGTTAGGATGAGTTTATTCTAGGAATCCAGTTTGGGCTTTCAGTGGAGTCCCATCTTGTCTGCTGTTTGTTGAGCTTTGATAGTTTGGGGTTGTTTCTTGTTTTGCTTGCAGGTGTTGGCTTCAGTGGCAAGGAGGCTGCAGCTTCTTTTTCTGTTACTTTGTTTTGTGAGGCTATTGTTTCTTTTGCTTTTAGTTATAGATTATAGATTCTCTGGTTATGTATTTTTCTTTTGTTTTGCCTCGGTTTGTTTGGTTTGAGACTGGTTTTTTTGTTTGCTTTTGTTCTTCTCCTTTATGCGCGTATAGAGATAATCATGAATTTCTTAATTATTGAATTTTTTTCCTCTGTACCTTTACATATATGTAGGTTTCTTTTTCGGTTCTTTTGTGGGTATAATACATAGAATATACTGTAAAAAAGGTAAAAGAGGATGTATAACATTTTCATTCATTTGACAATGTCTCACTGGAAATGTTGGTCTGTAACCAAAAATCATTTTATTCTCGAGCTGAATTTAAGCTATGTATAATAGCACTTGCAATCTTTAAGTCGTGAATAGGCTCATCAAGAGTAACACTGCTTGTTAACAAAACTGCTTGTTAACAAAATTCATTATTGCATTACACTAGCTTGTTAACAAAATTCATTATTGCATTACACTAGCTCAACTTTTCACATTGGTTTTCGCCTCGGTAATTATTTTCCACAACTTTTAGGATAAATTGTAGTAATTTTTATCTTATATGTTTCACCTCCCTAACTTTTTCGTCCGCTCTGAATTAAGTTTTTGATGCGTTTTATTATTTCCGTCCTGTATGTTTGCAAAAAAGTTACAAAAGATTATTTTCGCACCAAAATGGTTTCTTTATGTTTTGGAAAAAAAAAAAAAGTTTTCAATTTTATCCCTTATGTATAAAAAGACCATTTTGTAACATTATTGTAAACATAGGGGATGAAAATAAGTAAAATAATTTGAAAAAAAAGTTAAAGTGGTGAAACATACATGACTAAGATTACAATTTACTCCAAATTTTAATTGATCATATTAATCATAAGAAGCTGAAGAAAAGGACTCCAATTGTCTATACAGGCAAGTTTCAAATCAATATGTGAGAATAATAACAAAACCTTGATAACAATCTCACCATATTGAACACAATGATATAAACTTTCCCACTAGAGCCAAATAATTTCCAGGTTCACATTCTACACAGATTTCACATACTAAAACAAATCCACAAGTAACCCACATTGACAGCTACAAATTACAATACCACCTGTAGACTAACTCAAACAAGAGCTCCACCTTTCACAAACTCGGTGAAAGCAAGAGCCACCAAACCCAACATAGCAAACCTCCCATTCCACAGCTCAGCATCTGATGTCATCAAATTCCCAGATTTTGACTCGGCCGTTACACCTCTAAACATCGGGATTAAAGATGCCAATGACAGCAAAACACTCGTGCCCAAAAACCAGGGAAATCCACCGTTTTCTACCTGAGAAAAAATGTCCTGACCGTTAGACAGCTCGACTCCCATGGCTGCCACAAACCCAATCATGGCTAATCGCCCATTGATTCTCTCAGGGCCCGGCCCGCTGAAGGCCAGCACATCTGAGAAGCTGGTGCTCACCTGTGCTTTATTAAAATGTGAAATTGTTAGAAATGAGTGCAAATCCTGAAGGCCAAAAAACGAGATCTAAGTTCGAACAAACTCAATTTTGGAGATCTGGAAAGAATTTCACATCACAAGTATATAGAAGAATTTCTAGGAACATTGGTTGTGAAAGTGCATGCAATGAATCAATTCAGTTTCGTACTCTTCTGATTTTTCAGTATATAGAAGAATTTACAATTTTACTTTTGGTAGATTGAAAACATATATATATATATAAGCAGTAGTTTATGAAAATTACCTTGGGCTTTGGGGGAGAAGTTGGCTTGGGTGAAGCTTCTGGTTGTGCTACCTCTTTGACCTTATCGTCCTGTTTTATTTGAAGAACATAGATACAGTCAGAAATATCTTTAAAAAAAAAAAAAATAATCAAATTGTTACAATTCCAAAAACAAGGAAGCCAGAAAATGAAAAGAAAAATTTAAACAAGTACCTCAGCCAAACTTCTAACTATGAATTTCACATCCCTCTTGCAAGGGGACACAAATTTGGAATTTCTAGAAATCTGGTTAGTATCAGCCCTTCTTGCAATTGGGCTCACAGATGAAATTGTAGGCATTCCAAAGCAAGTTGCAGCCATTGTGTGAGTTTCTTCTAGCTGCAGACTGAAAGATTCAAGCAATGAGTTTCTATTCTAATTTCTGAGGTTGAGGAAGCAAGATAATAGGTGTGCCTATAGCAGATTACTGTACTCCTCTTACTGTTGTACAATTAAATGCCACCGTTTGAATGAAGCGGATGTAACAAAGTGGGTGCTTTATAAAGTGCAATATTGCATGGGGGCTTGTTGGGGAAGACAAAACGGGTGCGGATATTTTAGCATCCACGTAGTTCGCTTATTGCCCGTTGAAAGAACTTTGTTGACGTGGGTCTCAAATTGGTCACAGATGATTTAAAAAGGATGATTTGGACCGGTTATTTACCACAAAGCCGATATGATGGGGGCCCGTTTAGGGCCTCCTCGAGATTCCTAGGACAGGTGGGCACCAACACATTACGCCTGCCAAAATTCATACCTAATATTTTGTAACGTGCGGACAATTTTCACATTTTAATATATACATGCTATATTATATTGTCTGATAAAAATATATTTAACGTCAAAATTCACGAAATGATATGTGATACAATAATTGTATATTCAAATGAATTGTTGATGAGACGAGGCCGCGTTGACATTTCTGCAGAAATATGACTGTTTCTGAGTCTAGATTATTTATTTTATGGTCTTTATCAGTTGATGAATTTCTAGCTATTATAATTTTCAGTTATGTTATTTTATTAGTGTGGTAGTTAAATAAATAAGAGGGCTTTTATTTTTGAGTAGTTGAAGAGTAGTGGGCTCTTCTTATATGTACCCACCCAGTGAACTGAAGAAAACAGTTATCGTATTATCATTTTGAGAAAACTGACAATTGTTCTTGCATTCTTATTCCCATTCGTATACATCCTCTACATCAGTTGGTATCAGCAGACCAGCCGACGATCCACGATGCCGCTGAAGAAGAACAATACCGTGAACGAAAACTCCATTGACGAGCGATTTCAGAGAATCGACGACTGTTTCATCGGAATTGACGAACGACTCACGGATCTCTCGACGGGAATCGATGAATTGCGATTGACGATGCGCACCATGATGGACGAGATGCGTCGAAATCGCGACATGGCTGGCCAGGGCAATCGCGAAGGACAGCGCGGTGGTCGAGGAGGTCGGGGTTTTGGCGGGGCGCCCCGCCAACGATCGCCGCCACCACCGCCGACCGGTGATGACTCCGACGACACCTTCACAGTCGACAATCCTTTCGCCGATGGAGGGTTAGGGTTTCGAGGTTTTGGTGGCGGCGGGCAAGGTTTCGAGCAGGGATGGCATGACGGAGCTGGTGGCCGCCGCGCGAGGGGTCCATAGCGGGTTGGAGTGGAAACAGAGGACGACAGGTTTTTTCGTCGAGGGGGGCCTATGTCCGACGATGACGGGTTTGAGAAGGACGGAGGTGGTCGACGACGAGGTCGCGGGCCTGGAGCAGCAGCGGGGCTCCACCGGCGCGGCCATTTCGTTGATGACGATGGCAGGGACGACATGTGGCAACAGCGGCGTGAGGGTCGGCGCCCGATAGAAGGTGGCGAGGACTCGCGTTGGGAGTCAGGGGTTCGGGTTGACATCCCGGAATTTCATGGTAGTGTGGAACCGAGCGATTTTGTTGATTGGGGGGACCACAGTGGAATCGGTGGTGGCATTTAAGGCGGTCCCGGAAGATAAGCGTGTCGCATTCGTCGCTACTCGCTTTCGTGGTCGAGCTGCGACTTGGTGGATGCATATTACGAGTATGCGGCATCGTCAAGAGAAGTCTCCAACTATTTCATGGATGAACTTTCGTAAGTATGTGGAGGATGAGTTTTTACCTTTTAATTATGACAGTGTCGTATATCAACAGCTGCATAACTTGAGACAGGGCACTCATTCGGTTAATAACTATACGAACGAATTTTATCAACTTCTGAATCGTGTGGAGGTACGAGAGATTAAGACCCAGTTGATTTCCCGATATGTTAGTGGGTTGCGAGTTTCCATACAGGACATGTTAAATCTCGTCCGTTTGGAGTCTGTCTCGGATGCACATCAAAGAGCCCGGCTTGTAGAGCAACAGTTAGCTCGGAAAACGGGCTCGACTTTTCCCTCTACAACACGAGCAGGACAATCTAGCAGTGGGATACAACAACAGGGCCGCTTTTTACCGTCTTCGGGCACGGGAGCGGGTCACACGACGGCAGCCGGGCGTTTTCTCGTGGCGGGGACTGGACCACAGCGGCAGCCGGGGATGAGCGGATCATCTTTTTATCGTTTATATTTTTAGGTAAATTTATGTTTTATGTTATTTCTTAGTTAATAATCAAAAACCAACAAATTGAATTAGAATGTTTAGGATTTATTTTCCTTTTATGTGTTATCGATATCACTTCTAAATTCCGAACCGCCATCCTCGAGAGATCGACCCGGGAAACGAATCATTTGATTCAGTGCTCGGTAAAATAAAAATAATTTGCTACAACACAAGCACTAAGGGTGTGATTGGATATGGATTGCACTAGTTTTTGAATGGGTTTTTTTAACCATTGTTAATTTTGAAAAAAATGGTAAGGTGAGTTGTTAGTGGGTATATTAAAATAATATTTAAAATAAAATAAATAAAGTTGATTTGATGTAAAAGTAAGAGAAAAATGATTAAAAGTGATTGTTAAATATATGTGAGTGGATAAATACACACACACACACACACACACATATATATATATATATATATATAGGATGTGGTTCAAATGAGAACCAAGTCCTAGCGTGAGAACTGTGAGAACCGCTATTTTTAATTGTATGTAGTGCTATGATTAATTGTGTTTTAGTGCTATTTTTAACTAGGATGTATTTGATTAAAAATAGCAACAAAATTTTTATTAGCATTTATGAAAATGATAGCACCATGTAATATTAAAAATAGCATCATACACAATTAAAAATAACATCAAATATGGTTCTCACGGTTCTCACACCAGACATAGTTTTTATTTGAACCAGCCCCTATATATATATATATATATATATAATTACTAGCTAATTCATTTAATAAAAAATTTAATAAAACCTATTTTCATTTCCCTCCAAAAGGAGTTACATATTTGGTTGCATTGTTGGAAGAAAAATATGATTGACACATTTTTTTTCTTCTAAAAATCAGAAACTCCATTTTTTTTATTTATGTTAATTTTCTTAATATATGCCCAAAATATATAAATTATTTTATTCATGTTACTAATGTAAACGTTGCATGGTTAAAATAAAATTTAAATTTCAATTAATTTTGAATGATAAAAATAACTTAAGAAAAAAATATTTTTATATGATAGATATACATGTCTAATTAATAAATACAAACAAAAACGTGTTTTATATCTGTGCAAATGTACAGGATCAAATATTAGTAGTGAATTAAGGTTGATGTGATGTGTAAAAATAATTGATTGGTGTTATTTAATTATAATATGCAGGATAGTAGAGTTGGATTAAAGTTGAGTTAAATTTAATTTTGATAGATTTTTTTTACGGTAGAGTTTATATTCAATCACACCCTAAGTTTTTATCAAACAAATTCAATCACAACTCAAATTTAACTCAACTCAACACTTCTCAATATTATTAATATAATTAAATAAAATATCAATCAATCATTCTCACATTATTAATTCACATCAAATGTAATTCACTATTCTTTTACTCATCAAATAATATTAATATTTGCATCAAATATTCTTTTACTCAATATTATTAATATAATTAAATAAAATATCAATTAATCTTTCTCACATTATTAATTAACATCAAATATAATTCACTATTCTATTACTCATAATTTTCTATCACTTCTATTTTACTTATATGTCAAATCAACTTTAATCATTACATTTCAAATATTATTTAAATACAAACTAAAAATACTCAAACCTGACACAACTAAACTTTTTAAAGTAAGNCAAAAAAAAAAAAAAAAAAAAAAAAAAACTTATATCTAAGCAACCCTAAATCAAAATGAAGACTTCACGGCTTCGCCATATATAATGCTCCACTGGACGAATTCAAAAACACTCGTCAAATTCGTTTTACCCGCGCTTGCATCTGAAGAACTCTCTAACCAAAAACTTCCCTCTCTCATCCGAAAATGCCTGAGTTCAAGTATGATCCATTTCAATATTCAGTTCGGTTATCTGCAATCAAATCCTCTTTACGTGACTGCTAATTTAGTTCTGGTTTGCTGCTTTGAATTTTGAGCAACAGAGCTGAAGAGCAGAGCCAGCTACAGCTCGTTGAAAGAGAAGAAATCGAAGATGAAGAAGAACTGTTCGAGGCAATTGATAAGCGTAAGGAAATCTTAAACCCTCACTATGTTTTTTGCGCGAATGAGATTTAGATTTTAGTATCAAATTCGAATTTCTGTAGTTTGGCTCATTTTGAATGCGATCCAGTTAAATCAGGAGTTTATCTGATGGAAAGATACATTATCTTATTTGGATTCTGTTCTTGTAGTGGAATTTTCCCGTTCCTGATAATATTTGGCAAATTTGTTTACGTTTTGTTCTGAATATTTGCCTGATTTTGTGTGCATATCTGTAATGGTTCAATTGCTGTAGTTTTTGTTGTTTATGGAACACGAGTTCTCTGGAGCCTTTTTTTTTTCTTTCGTTTCTGATGGTCCTGTTTGAATAGCGTATGGATATTTCTGATTTTCATGCCTGACGTATTTCTTCAATTGGAAACATCAAAATCTGCTGATAAATTCAGTTTTGAATCGGTCAGTTCTCTGTATTCACATTCAATAATTTAGTAATAGCATCAGGAAATGGTAAATTATGAAACCTTGTGTTTGTAACACATAGTTTCTTGCAGTTCGTATCTGTAGTTCATTTTCACTCTGAAATGAAATTCTCAATATCACTTCATGGTATTTAAGGAAAATGTTGCTATGTTCACCTGGAACTGGAAACCTAATCCAAAATCTTCATTATACTCTAATCCTGCCCGTTTCCGGACGAGAGAGGTGTTCTGTTCATACATGTTCTGATAATGTTGTAATATGCTTTAAGAGCTACATTATTTATCCAGTGACATCTCTTGGAATCAATGCTGGAGATGTGAAGAAGCTGCAGGATGCTGGCATTTATACATGCAATGGACTAATGATGCACACTAAGAAGGTGAAATTTTGAATTGGCCACCTTATTACCTTTTGTATTGTTTGCAACACGTTTTTGAGCTGTAATATCCGTAAATTTTAAACAGAGTCTGACTGGCATCAAAGGACTATCTGAGGCAAAAGTTGATAAGATATGTGAAGCTGTTGAAAAAATAGTGGTTAGTGATTTTTTTTAATAATGGTTACTAAGAGAATTAAATGATGCTTTGGTTTTTCCTGATGCTGTTTGTTTTGCTTCCTTAAATTTACAGAACTTTGGTTACATTACCGGAAGTGATGCTCTGTTGAAAGTGAGAATATTAGTTCCTTTTGACCTATTTAATGAAGCATGTGACTGATGGTTGCTTCGAGGCTGATATGTAAATATTATTGTTTGTTTAGAGGAAATCAGTCGTTCGCATCACAACTGGAAGCCAGTCTCTGGATGAACTCTTAGGGGGTGAAACATTAATTTTTCTTGTTTTCTGTTATGACTTTATCGTCAAAGCATGCTCTTAACTCGTTTATGCCCATGATGAAGGTGGGATAGAAACTTCGGCAATAACAGAAGCTTTTGGGGAATTCAGGTGGTATTGAATTATTTTTTACACTGCCTTGATCAACTGAGAACAAACCTTTCTTCAGTTTCTTGCTGCTAATGAATTTGGGTATTCTATACATGTAACCAACATTTGACCCAGATCTGGAAAAACACAGCTGGCTCACACTCTGTGTGTTTCCACACAGGTGATATAATTGACGATAATTTGCCTAATTCTCATTTAAGAAGGAAATGAAAACTAAATCACACACAACATCTAGGCATAATCTGATTTCAACAGTCTGTATATTAACTGGATGGATTTCCTAATATGCAGCTTCCTACTAGCATGAAAGGAGGAAATGGAAAGGTTGCTTACATCGACACAGAGGGGACATTGTATCCTTCCCTGATTCTTTATTCCATGATCGAACTTTTAGGATGTTACATCACCCTTGGTGTGGTAAATCTATTTATTCTAGTTTTTCTTGTCTTTTTCTTTTGTTTTCCTTAAATCAGTTGAACTTTCAGCCGACCGGATCGAATCATACCCATTGCTGAAAGATTCGGAATGGATCCAGGAGCTGTGCTTGATAATGTAAATAATATATTCCCATTATTTCACTAATGTTGAGTTGATCAGATAATTCCTGGTATCCGTTTCTCATCTATTTTTTTTTCTTTTTTTTTTCTGTCTTTCCTAATTTCTGAAAGATCATATATGCGCGTGCTTACACATATGAGCATCAGTACAACCTGCTTCTTGGTCTAGCAGCCAAAATGGCTGAGGAGCCTTTCCGGCTTCTGGTGAGCTCTTTCTGGCTAATAATTGAAATCAGCTAATATCCGTAATACTATAATAGGTCCTGATATGTTTAGGCAATGTGTTTTCAGATTGTTGATTCGGTGATAGCCCTTTTCCGAGTCGACTTCACAGGAAGAGGAGAACTTGCAGAACGTCAGGTCTGGGCCATCGCTATCAAAATATCAATAACTATTTATTTAGAAGCTCTTAAGCCTTAAAAGTAAACCTTAAGCTCTCTGATGCTCTATTCCAGCAAAAATTGGCCCAGATGCTCTCGAGGCTGATGAAGATTGCGGAGGAATTCAATGTGGCTGTTTACATGACCAACCAGGGTATGGTGGCTTTATTTATTGACTTAATTAGAATAACAAGACTTGCATTTTTTCCTGATTTAATTTTTCCAATAAAGAAAAGTGAATGCTTGATTTGTCTCGACAATTTTTGCAGTTATTGCTGACCCTGGAGGTGGTGTCTTCATTTCCGATCCTAAGAAGCCAGCTGGCGGTCACGTCCTTGCCCATGCGGCCACTATAAGGCTCATGTTCAGGAAGGGAAAAGGCGAGCAACGTGTATGCAAGGTGTTTGATGCCCCAAACCTCCCTGAAGCTGAAGCAATATCCTTATCTTTTTTTNNAATTAATTGGATTTTTCAATATTATTTCCGTAAGTGGAAAAACAGTTTCAAACGGTGATTCTTCTGCATGGCTTAGAGTATTTTATCGGTTTATTTCCTTAACAGAAGCAAGTTTTCCAGATAACTCCAGGTGGGATTGCGGATGCAAAGGATTGAATCAACTGCTATTTCATCTCTTTAAGGTTTTACTTACAGGAAAATGCAAATATTGAAATTAGTATGCTCGACTGCTTCTTTAAAGTGTGACGTCTTAGGCCGAAACAAATTTAGTGTTACTGCGTTTTATGATGCTGCTTCTTCATACATTCGCCTAGAGTTCCGTTTATGCTACACTGTTTGTCCCTAGCAGATTGAAAATTGAAATGTGTATCCCCTGGCCTCAGGCTTCTACTTGAATATGTCATCTGTGAAGAAAACATTATTATTTCCAACTAGTTTTACTTCGCTATCAATTGTGTATTGGTATAAGACTTGACAGGCCGGAAATCCTGAGGATATGACTGTTGCTAAATATTTCTAAACTATGTTCAAACCCTGCTTTTTTCTGCATCAATGGCTTTTTCAGTTGGATTCAGTTTGAAAAACTGAGAATAACTGTCTCCTTATAATTCAGGCTCCTGCATTTAAATTCCAAGCAGAAAATCTAGTAGAAACTGTCCTCTTGTAATTCAGGATGTAAAGGAGTCGCATATGACGTTTCCAAGTTTCTTTGAATTACATTTTTAACTTCAAAGCGTGTGTTAGGAGTTGTATACTTATTAATCAAAATCGTGTTTGAACAAAGTTGAACTTTAGTTCAACTTAGTACATCTACATTCATACATATCTTATATTGTTTTATTCAAACATCGGATTGCATAAAAAATTGCAGGTTTCAAAGAATTCCGTACTCTGATACAAAAGATCCAATCCTGTTATGACAAAGAGGAGAGATTTATCCAGTGGCAGAAAATCCCATAAACCATGAACTAAGTCGAAATACTTCACATATAACTAACTCTAAAACGCACAACTTCCTCTGTACTTCTAAGGAACATGCAGTTCAATAAATACCATCCTTGATCTCCCTCCCTGTCCTTGCCCAACTTCCTTTCACATCTAATCCTAATCCCATCCTTTCTTGGAGGGCAATTTCGTCAAACGCGGTTGTACCCAACTGACTTGCTGAACAAGCCACGTATGTACACAACCTGAAGCCCGCTAACAAGTACTAGCAAAAGGTATTCCCCGACAGTGTAGAATATGACCCGTTTTCTCGTGCTTTCATTTGCTGCGCCAAGAAAAACTCTCCGGTATTACTTAATAAACAAGATATATCAACATTATATAGATGAAGAAAAGCACAAAAAATATCCAACCAAATGTTGACAAATTGGTGTCACGTTTACTATTGTCCCAACAAATACAGAATGACAAAGCCCATAAAATTATTAAACTACAGATACTTTTATTAATTTTCCATTTTTAGATAAAATTATTCTAATTATTAAAATAAAAAATTGATTTATGAGAATGAACGCTCAAAAAAAATTCTACCGTATAGGAATTTATGCACAACATATAAACCAATTAAGTTGTTTAATTTAATTTTGGGTCCCAAAGGCAAATTCATAGATACAGTAGAAGTTACCTTCAAGAGAATACACTAAAATTGGGAAGGAAAGGTTAAAATATAAAAGCGAGCAAGGAAAAAAGAAAAAGAAAAGAAGGGTCTTACTACGACGGTGACGAGCATCACGTGCTTTCAAGTACTTCTGCTCAGAAGTAACAGATTCCAGCGCCTCCCTCAATTCAGCAATTTTTACATTAATGGGGTCCAAATGCTCTGTATTGCAGTAACAGGCAAGTAAAAGAGAAAACCATCATAAATTTTATTATTAGTTAAGTATATATGCATCAGCAATGTCAAGAATGCAATAATGTAGGACATACCATCCTTCGCCAGGTCATGTTCAGTGGGTATATGGCCGACATGAATGTGGAAAGAGACTGTTTCTGGTGTGGAATAAGGATTATGGAAACAGAATTTGTACATTCCACTTCTAGGAGCCTTAAACTCGAATTTATCCCCAGATGTTCCTTTCAATGTGTGTACATTATTACCTGCAGGAGATGTCACCTACATCAAGAAGCAAATCGATCAAATAATGAAAAAACCATACATTACTTTGAGGAGAGAATTGAACCTTAGGGAACCTGAATGCATAAGCACCAAATCGATCAAAAAAAAAAAAATGTAAGTTTTGAACCTGAATGCATAAGCACCAAAAGAAACTACAAGCAAAATACTGAAATGTAAATTGGAATTGAGCGATTTTATTCATCCAATAACAGAAGTTTTGTATCTGGCCATCTGTTTTTTTCCCCTCATATCTATTATACTTCTTTCTGCTTCTCTAGCTTATGAAAAGAGACAATATCAAGCAGTCAGATGGGAATTAGAATTTTAATAGATTTCAATCGAACCCAAGTTAATAAGTCTGGTCCAGAAAAGTGTACTTTTCAGTCTTCTAATCAAAATTAGGTATCTTAATTGTTTGATGGAGGAGAATGATAATGTCAAACAGCCCTTTGGTTTTGAAGATGAGTCAGCATGTTCAGGAGGAAATCCAGTGTGTCGGTAGGTACCAAACCATTAAATAGGAGTGCAACCTAACTAAATAATTCTGACAAATCCCATCAATCAAAACAAATGTAAACAACTCCATATGGTGTTATTATTACAAAAAGAAATCAATAATGCAAGAACTTAGTATTCCTTACATCCCCAAGGTAATGCAGAGTAATAAGATGTGGCAAATAGAGCACCACGTTGCAAAGGTTGCTATGATTATGCATTCCCAAAATTCTCATTTCCTCCACAATTCAAAACTAAAACAATCACTTCGAGACACAACTATTTGTAAGAACTTCCTACATCCCATAATCACCCGGAGAATGAAAGAACTTATGGTTTAATTAGATAATGGTTTCAATTACAATAGTAAGCATCATTGAATTTAACTTTAAGCGCAATATCTCTTGGAAAATACTTTGAACACAGCATAGATAGCAAATTCCACATTCCAACTCTTAACGCAGAAATAAATAAATAAATCATCTGAGATAATGAGATAAATAGGTAGAATACGTAAAAGTTTAACTGGAAATAGTTTCAAACTTAAGACTATTACCCAAAAGCCAACACTTCAATTGCTCTGGACAGCCTATTCAAAATATCACCAATTCATTCAATCCTTTAAAATATCTCAAAAAACTAAAGCAAAAAGCGTTCAATCCCCAAAGGTGACCACCGACTTCAAAGTTGAATTGTAGGGGATAACCACTATCGAACGCATAATCTCAAAAGTCATAGTTAATTGGAGCAAATACTATATCTCACCCACTATTTTTGTGAACAAAATTGTTCTTCTAAGCAGAAAAAATTCAAATTTTTGACCTATATCCTTGCGAAATCCAATTGGAACGGACAGATCAAACACAATAGATAGGAAGAGGAAAGGAACATACAGTAAAATCAATGCCAGGATGATCGGAGCCCCAGAAGATATCATGATCTACGACGACGAAATTCCCGGAAACCGTGTCGCCTTCGTACAACACATATTCGTATATGCACTCAACGTCGTTCACCGTCACCGACAGCGCCGAGATGTGGCTCACCGTGCTCAAAAGGAGGAGCACCAACAGAGCACCGCACCTGATCATTCCTCTCATTCTCTCAATCAAACCGGATCCCATTATTCGGATTCCCCAATTTTATAGTTTCCAGACCTTCAGGTTCTTCTGATGTGATGAATTACCGAAGTCGGTTGTGTCCTTCCGCCTTCGTTGATGAATGTTCTGGTTATGCGATGTCGTTTCATGCTTGGTGGGGTTAGACACCTGGACGAATATTATTGGATGCAACTACGTCGTACAATATAGTGGCGTGGTGATTGATTGTTCTATAAAAAAATTTCAGCAGTTGGTCTCTATGTAAATTAACATTTTATTTATTTAAATTAGTACAGAGCCCGTGCGATCCACGGGTGCACAATTTTAAGGCTATTTAACCAGACTTATAATTATATACATGAATATAGACGTGACCTGTGCGAGGCACGAGATATATTTATTTGAAGAATACTATATTATAAGATGCAATATTCAATAAAAGTTTTATAATACGCAGGAAAATTATACAATAAGATAGCAATCATATATTATTAAAGACCACCTTGTACACAACATTATGAGTTTGATTTTTCATACAATACTAATAAGATTTTTTCTAAAAAGATAAGAAAGAATTTTCAATCTACACAAACTTTAAACATTAGATGTATTTACGTAAATCAATGACTATATAGACAACTAAACCCTTCAATTTAGGCTTGACATCTACTTTATTTATGGGTGACGTAAAATACGGATTTAATTTTGACCGATTAAATCTTTATTCATAGGTTTGACATATAAAACTGATTTGATGGGATTTTCTTAACTAAATCGATGCTATGGGATAAAACAAATGTATACTTACCTTTGACTTTTCCAGTAAAGGTAAAAAAATCGGTTCTGATTTTTATCCTATAACAAATCTTTAATGTCAAGCCTATAAATATCAAAACAAATTTGTAATTAGTATCATTCTATTTCCAGCAGGCATTAATTACCTTTGACTTTTCTGCCTACTATTTCTAGTAAATAGGATGACTTTTTATATAAGTATAGATTTCATATAATGCAAAGACTGAGATCATAAAAAAGAATCCTAAAAATTGAAACAATATATTTGCATAATTTAAGGCCATTAAGAAATCGATCTCTAAACCAGATTTGATTTTGAGAATATGTTTTTTCATTTCGAATTCTATACAAAATGGAATTCTTTCCAACCAATAGATGTCATAGCAAATATTAACTCTTAACTATTAGACTATTAGTACATACCGAGCAAATTGTGTACTGATTTTAGAAAGTTAAAATGATTCATGTTAGGTAATTTTACATTTTATGCATGTTGAACGGTGGGTTTTAATACTGTTTCATAGAATGTAAAAGTGTCTTATATTATTTTTATGAGATGTTGAATTTGAAAATTAATAGAATTCTTCTTCATAGGAATTTTAAATGTAACAATATTCTTTGGTATACACTACTAATAAAATTTATATTTAAAGTTTATATTTTTTTTTTCCGGAAAAAATTTCTTAATTTAAGAAATCATATATCTTCAATCAGTCCACATCTAAATACATTCTTAACAATTTTAAATCTTGAATTTGATGCGAATTCGTATCTATGAGTGCAAAATATGGTTTAATAAATTAATTTTTTATTATTATTCCAGCCATACTTCGTTATACGATTTTTTGTGAAAATACAAAAATAAATTCTTAATTTTAAATCAGTCGTACATTAAAGAGTACAAATTTGTTGAAATTATAAAAGTAAATTCTAAATGCGCATTTTGCATGAGTAAATACGTAGCGAAAATATGCAATTAAATTTGCATTTTATATAATAAATTAAAATATAATAATTAATATTTTTTTATATATAATTAATATAAATTTCAATTGTATAATATTATCTACTGATATACACAATTAAATGGCAATGATTGGATCTCACATCAACTAAATATGTATTTTTTATTACCTAAATATGCACAATGAATGAACTAATTATGCACTTTTTATTCTCAATTATGTATGCAATATTTATAACGATTATCTAAATATGCAAAAGAGATAAACTAAATGCATATTAATTATATAATATAAAAACCCAAGGGCAAGGACCATTTGCAATTATTCAAACTATAAATAAGTTATAGATGGAACCCAAGGATCTAATTGCAATAAGTTATAACTATCTAAAATTACAACTAGATCCCTAAGGTTTATCTAATTTTCATCAAAACCCATGGCCCCAAATCTAATTTCTTTAGCCGACGCCCGATCTTCTTCCGGCAGCGCGGGTTACCTCCTTTGTCTCCTCCATCCTCAGATCGTCATTGCTGCTAGTGGAACCGAACAGAGATGTCCATCCTTTCAGTTTCAGTTTTAGAAAGAAAACTCGGGTCCCTGTGTGGCCACCAATTTTGGGAAAGAATGCCCTGGTCCAATTTTCTGCCGGTCACAGGAGGCCTCGCTGATTTTGGGTTGATCTAGAACTCAGGGAAGCGTCACTTTCGCCAAAATCGGTGGCCACACAAGGAGGTCTTGCTGGCCGGAATCTTGCGCCACCACGCCGTCAATGAGATGCAAAGGGCGGCAGCACTCTAGGGACGACGCCGGAGAGTGGTGTCGAGCTGATGCTGACCAGTTACCGGTGGTCAACAGCCGCCTGCCACCGCCAAGTTCAATCTATTAATTTTTCTATTATATAATTAATTTAATATAATAATAATAATTATTTTTAGTATAGAGTTAATGTAATTACAATTAATTTATATGAGTGGCTATAAATGAATCTCACGTACTCAGTTTAAAAAGTTGACTCATTTAATCCACCCCTATATATACTTACCTTAAACTTAAAATGTATATCATATATAATCTAGTTTTGTCAAATCAAATTAATAACATTCAAATTCAATGAGACAAATTACATGGTTCACGGATGTACACCTTACTAGTAGATAAAAACCGACTTAATAGTTTCTTAACAACTAATGCACCATTCTCCAATCTAGCTCGTCCAATTAGTGATCAAAATGACCCAATACCGCTCCAACCGCTCTGACAATTGATCCAAATGGCTAATGATCTACCGAACTATTTTTTTTTACCAAATCACATATTACACAACAAAGCATAGGGGCGGAGCTAGGATTTTAAAATACCTGGGGCTGGGGCTAATGAAACTGCAATCTCCGATTCTTTTTAGATTCAAACTCGGCGATTATAGTATCATTACTAATCTTTTCAACCAATATGTGGTAAGAAGGAGCACCTATCTCCGTCATTAACTCGCTTCCAATACTTGAATCCATCGGATTTCGAGCTTGTTTATTTTGGAACAAGAAACACGAGAAGCAAAATGCAGCATCCCTAGAAGGAGAGTACTCCAACCAAGTAAACTTCTTGAACCAATTGCTTTGAAATCTCCGATTTTTTAGCTTCGAATTTTGTCGATGGATATTCATTCTTGATAGGTTGATATGGTCCAATCTTAATATAAGCTCATCTTATTTCATCCCTTTGATCAACGAGATATTTCCATATTGGAGTACGTAGTGCCGGGTCACGTTCAAGAAAACTCATATCAATAGAGGCGACAACATCATCATTAGAAGGACGATCTCCGCTTGTCGACGTATGCTTTTTTGGCTTAAAGAACGAATTGATAGTCTTTATTTTCTTCGTACCTTGACCTCCATTATGGTTTAAACCTATCGAGTTAACAAACAGAAGTAAATTAATCAAGCATTTGGATGATATAAGCAAACTAAAAAGTACAAAACATAAAAAAAGGTAATCAAGAACGATTTGTGGGGTTTTGTACACAATCTTATTATTATGAATGCCAAACAAGCATCCACACCTTTTAAAGCATCGAATACATGAATCATGATCAACAAGCATTAACACATATAATTAAGTTAAAAACATGTTCTCTTATTGATCTCAACTTCAACATAAATTTTCAAAACTTGTAACAAAACAAATAAAGGCATAGCCATAGGCCCACTGGGAGAATAACAATTAAGCTTTCAATTCACATATGACTAAATAAAGAGACAAAACAAAATTACCAAAATTAAATTAACCTAGACAAATAGAGAATAAAGATACGAATAGAAACAAATCAAACAATTGAACAAATTCAGTCACCAAACTCACCACAGTTTAATTCACAAAATTCACACGACGGTTGACACCACATTTCAATTCATACTCAATAAACCAATTAATCAATTCAGGTTCAACCGTCCTTACCTCGGGGGTCGGAGTTACTCTCGGTCCCGCGGACTTGCCGGTTGTCGCCCGCTACAAGAATAATCATTATTAGCGACAATAATTTTAGTGACGACATTAATGTCATGACTATAAAATGATTATTGTGACGACATTCGAACATATAACGACATTATTAGCGACGGTATTTTTTGTAACGACATTTGAACATATAGCGACAAAAATTTCTGCCACTAAAAATGATTATTCTTGTAGTGTAGCTCAATCCTCGAAACCCGAAGGTCTAGCTTCCCCGTTCTTTGCAATCGCCAGATGGAAAATGCGCCGTTCACCTTCGCAGTCTCGCAGAGGCTTGAGAGAAACCGATTAAAGAGAGCCCGTCGTCTATTTTGTGTGAGACTTGAGAATCGTGTTAGTGTGTCAGAAGAGTGAGAGTTGTACTTGTACCGATTTTAACACGCCCAACATTGAATTTTTATTTTTTTGCATTTTGTTGTTGTCTTGTGGGCTAATCCAAAGGGCTAACTAGAAATGTATATATAAGGCTATATAACATAATAATCTAACATGTAAATTATTATTATTATTTTTTTTTACATGGAGTTGGAGCCCACCCTAGCCCATGAGTGACCCTAAGCATAGAGAATCTAGTTATTATGAAAATAGACAAAAGAAAGCTACCAAACTTTTTACATCATTCATCCCATTAGTTCACAAACAATATCCAAAAGCTGCATTCATAATCATGAAAAACATATACAAAGAAAAGCCATGCATGCTAAATAAACCCTAACTCTCTAACCCTGGCTCTACTTGCTATGTCAATTTCAACAGTAAAACATTACTCTTTTTACATTCTCTTTGAGGGCCGGCAAAGGGCGAACACCGCATGACTCACCAGCAACTCGTCCGTTGCCCTTCCTACTTTGCCCATTGCCACATCCATTTTCGGCCACATCTGGTTCCATGTAGAATCTTGCCCGAAAAGCGGCCAAATGCGCGTAATAAGCTGGGGGAACTGTGTCAATTTTAAAAAAGAAAAAAAAAAAAGTCACTTATAGGATGACTTCAGGGGCAAATGCGGTAATTTCAGCATTTAGGCATATGGGACTGGAGAGTGAGTTGGAGCTAGAACTAAACTTTGGTCTTTGACTTCATTTTAAGACCCAATTTCCAAAAACTTGAGACAATTTTTGGAAGTAAGCTTGCTTGTTTATAATTTTTTCCCAAAAAAAATCCAATCCAAACTCAAATCTAACTCAACTTTACCTCAATTCCAACTATTTTCAATATAATTAAATAATACCAATCAATGATTCTTACAAATCAATTCACTATTCATCCACTCACATAGTTTTAACTACATATCACATCTAATCATTTTTTTCCTACTTTTTCATCAAACCAACTTTAATCATTTTATTTTAAATATCATTTGAATATAAATTCAAAATCCCACTCAAACCTAACTCAACCAATTATTTCAAAATTAACTATGATTAACCAAAAAAACCAATCAAAACCAAAAATATTTATAAACAAGCATGCTCGCGTGTATATATATATATATATATAGGGGCTGGTTCAAATAAAAACTAGTCTTGGTGTGAGAACCGTGAAAACCATTTTTGATGCTATTTTTAATTGTGTATGATGCTATTTTTCATATTAGATGATGCTATCATTTTTACAAATGCTAACAGAAATTGTGTTGCTATTTTTAATAAAAATTTCATCCTGGTTAAAAATAGCATCAAACACAATCAATCATAGCACTACGCCCATCACGGTTCTCACATTAAGATTTGGTTCTCATTTGAACCACATCCTATATGTGAGAACCATATTTGATGCTATTTTTAATGGTGTATGATGCTATTTTTAATATTACATGGTGCTATCATTTTCATAAATACTAATAAAAATTTTGTTGCTATTTTTAATCAAATACATCCTAGTTAAAAATAGCACTAAAACACAATTAATCATAGCACTACATACAATTAAAAATAGCGGTTCTCACGGTTCTCACACTAGGACTTGGTTCTCATTTGAACCACATCCTATATATATATATATATCGACTTACCCACTGAGACGGAACGTGTGCACCTTGCATACGTATAACAGAGATTGTTCGTCAGAGACTGAATTCCATCGGCAGTAAAATTGTTCTCGTCCCATAGGACATGGTAATGTGCAGGTCGGCTTGTTCCCTAGAATTTAAAAAAAATAAATAAAAAAATGTACAATACGATCAACTTCAAAATACATACTAATTAGCTGGTGGTCTAATCCTAAACTGATAAGCAGTAGTAGTAAATTGAATTTCCTCTCTATTATGCTGAAAAAAGAAAAAAAAAATGTTGTACCTGAATTCCGGCATGGCTACAGAGATAAAAGTCAAATTCTGTTGGGTGACAGATTTTCGAATCAACCACTGTGCCTGCAGAAGAGAAGGAATATTACTGGCCTGACACCCACATATGCAAATTGCTATAAACAGATTGCAAAGTCTGAAAATATTTATAAGCTAAAATATTTTTTACCAGGCAAAATGTTTCCACTTTTGTCTGTGCTGCTCTTGTCCCTGTGATTATTAGCAAAGAGTCGGGTGTGGTGTCGTTTTTGAACCACAATAAAAGTCACTGGCGGTTGGTAGTTTGGCTCCAAAGATGCGCAAGCCTGCATAACATTTTTTAGTTTAACAACGAATTTTAGTGTGTAGAGAAAAAAATTATATGGATTATGGAAGATGAAGAATACCTTGCGGATAGCATCCAACTCGAACAATAGCACTTGGTAAAACTGTCCTTCACTCACACCATCTCTACCAAAATGTTAATGCAATTGTTAGATTAATTCAAATAGAGTTTTAAATAAATATGCACTTAAACAAGTCTAGATATAGATCACTTTGCATGAAAACCAAGAGAATTTATGACAACAAATCATGAAAAGGATCATCAATCTTGAAGGAAGTTGCTTAAAAGGTGAAAGATCGATGCATGGTATATATTGGCTGAAGAAAGTTATATTTTTTTCTAGAATAGGAAAAATAGAAATTGTTCCATTTGCCAATATAACCAAACCTGTAAAATATTATCCTCTGTGGCTTTTGCCCAGTTGCTTTCCTGAATGAAACCAAAAGATCCCTGCAAAATAAAAACAATCAGAAGCAGGACTTAATAAAACAAACAAAAAAAAATTCAAAAAGATTGAAAGTTGCCAATTTAAATCCAACAGACATATAAATCTATAATAAAAAAAAAAATAAAAAGGAAATAGAAAATCAAACCTTATCATGCCACCACTCACTGTACCACGAATCGGGTCCTGCCACGTCTTATACAAATCCTGTATTAATTCTTGTCTGTGAGCCTGAGCACAAACGAGCCCTGCATATTTTGTCACCTCTGGCCAATCTTGAGATGCCACAACCTGAATTTTGAAATGATAGATATAACTATATCCACTTTTTCAAAAAACATCAAATAATATAAATTTAAATAGAAAATGAGAACAGAAAGGTATGATATTTTGGTCTGCAAAAGAACATTACAGCAGCAATTGATGGGCTTGTCTCTTCTCCATTTTCGGGGTGTGTTACGTCTGCACCAAAGATAATTGTCGGTATATCACTCACTAATGGTATTCTGCAGCTTATGGCATCCAATAGAACTGTATTCCTACCGCCCATCTGTNAAAGGTATATAATTGCAAAGATTGTCTGGATATGTCTTATCTAATTACAGAAAAATTCAGTTATCTTTCAAAATGATTATAAACTGAGCCCTAGAAATGTAAATACAAAGCTTAGACTGAATGGTAGTGTTATTGTATAAGAGTAACTAGTGAAGGGTTACTTGTAATTTCTGAAAAATGGAAAAGCTTACCTTTAGATGTTTTGTGAGACACTAATTAAATGGATACTCGATTTTTAAGGAAGTTCTTACCTTAACATTAATTTTTAAGGACACGTTGGCCAAATACTGCTTGTTGATCTTGAAGACGTGTTTTGTGAGACAACACTGGGAAATGAGACCAAGATCTGTTTCGCATATTCGCTTGAGATCACCTATTTATTACCCACAGGAATTAATGTGAGACACTATAAGAAGGGATAATATAAGGTAAACAATGAAATGGATATTTAATTTGTTATCTGCATAGTGCATACCATATAAGGAACCATTGTTATCCGGTAAAATAGCTAAAAGAAGCTCCAATTCTTTTCCTTTTAGTTTGTTCATGCATGCATGATAAACGTGCTTCAAGGCTTTCTCCACTTGATCAGGCCGCGCATTGTAAATTGGAATAATGGGCTCCGGATTAAATTCCTGTAAATTAAAGATTAGTTTAGGATATGCATAAAACAGAAGCAATTTATTTTATATTATTTTTTTACCATGCCTGACACTTGACACATTTGAGCCAGCTCATTACAAAATCCACGAGCAACACTATCTTGGACACTCCTTGAGAAGTTAATACACGCCCAACGGCTAACAGTCATGCCATTAATCATTTTCTGCATGAAATTAAGAGTTAATTTCAGGTGAGTTGAGTGGCTAATTTGTAAAAGAAATAAAAAAAAAATTTGTTTGAGTGGTGAAAAACCTTGTTCATCATGTTCCATTGGCCTACTTGCGGCAAACAATCTTTCTCCTTTCCGGTTTCATGATATTTCAACTGAAATTAAATTGCAACAAATGCAAGATCAAGTTTAACTAAGTCCTACTTATTCTTTTCAGAAGTCAAAAGGGAATTTTAGGGAAAAATTCATATGCATCTCACCCAGGGAGCAGGGAGCACTCTTGCCTCGACAGATGTCAATTTTTCACTGATTCTGATTCCAAATTCTTTTGCATAGGGATCTTGTTCGTAATCATTATGTTGGACAGTCTACATCCACATAAATTTTTTTTTTTTTTTTAAAAAAAAAACAATAATAATAATAATTAAGAAAAGAAAAAATGACCATGTAAGAGAACTTAGAATACCTGCAAAATATCATTTTCCCTATCCCTTGGTCTCTGGCAAGTGACTTTTAGAAGAGCAGTAATTTGTTTCTCGCTCAAACGTTTAGTATATCTTTGGCCCTCGACAATTTTACATGCCTGCCGGTAACTAATATCAGATGCTAGAATTAAAAGCAAAAAATTTTAGGCCCAAAGTAAAAGTAACTACCTCCATTGGTAAATAGTTTGCCTTCTTCTGGTTTCCCACTTGAAGACAAGGCAGATGAGTATACTGAATAGTGAAACCGTACATTTCTTGGAAGTACTCAACAACCGATTTCATAGTCGAGTTATCGTCAACAGGAAATCTACAACAATAATAATGAAGAAAATGAGTTAATCACAGTAAACAAACTAATCATTAGTCTTTTTATCTATTTATTTATTTATGAGCTTGTTCAATCTCAAGCTTACACAAGCTCTCGAGTGGGTTGAGTCGTAATCCCAGCAACTCGATATTTTCTACGTACATCTCTTCTGTGAGTCACTTCGACTTTTACTCCTCTAAGAGCCTTTTTAACCTGAAACGAAACAAATGACACGTCAAAAACAAGGAAAATTCGATGAAATAAAAACAAAAATAGAAGTGCAATAATATATTTAGTTACATCAATCAATCAGCTAAATCCCAACCTTAATTCGGTCCGAATCAGACAACGGTCTCGACATCACGTCCTTCCCTAATAATTGGGCGACAAATTCAATTACCGGTAAAGCTTCTATAAATGCAGCTGAAGCCATATCTGCAATTTTGTTTTATTACAAAAAAAAGGGAAGACAATGTAAAAAACGACGAAATATTAAATATAATAACAGAAAGGAGCCATGCTATTGGATCGCACACACAGACAGAATCTCAAAATCGCATGCAAGTAAATTTTTTAATTTACCGATGTTTAGTGATAGTCCCATTTGAGTTGGCCTTATACTTTGATAAAATCCACACCAAGCCTCCAATCCATCACCAAGCCTCTGTGGCTTTCGAATATCGGGAGAAAAAAACGACCTCCCAACAGGACAAAACCTTTATAAACAAGACAAAATTCACTTCTATAAGCTTCTTAAAGCACAACATTTCATATTTGCATATGTAACAAGGCAAAATTAGCTCAACATTAATTACAAAAGACTGCCTTTTTCAATTTTTTTCTTTTTTTTTTTCTTTTTCATATTTGCATATTTACCTTTTCAGTGAGAGCTCTCTAAGCACAATATCAAGAATTTGAAGGGCTTCTTTAGGACCATCAGCACGCTTGCCGGCAAGAAATTGGCCCAAGTGATGTAAGTTTGCACGCGCTACAAACTTGATCACCACTTTATATACCCTCTCTCTCCTGCAAAATTTTTACCCAAAGTGAAATTTTTAGCTTAACGTAAAAATAAATCCGGCTACACTCACACGTTTATTTACTGAATACTATAACAAATTATCCAAATGTACAATTTTCTTTTTTTATGTTTCAAGCAAGCAGTAAAAAGGGGGAAATTGTACTTGGGCCCGTTTATGCTCTCGTCTTCATCAATAAGTTTAATGGTAAACTCCTTCCATGAGAAAGGAAGTTCACCAGCTGTGTACAAACTTTTCCTGCCATCATAAGCAGGCAATCTCGTCCCAAGATCAGATTCTCTGTAAATTTTCACTAGCTCTGCTATGATTGCTCGATTTATTACTTTCGACGTGACTTCGGGGGTAATAGTGACCTGTAAGCACAATAAAAATTGAAAATTAAATCAAAAAAAAAAAGAATGAAAAAACTAACAAGAACAATTTCAACAACAATTCAAACAACAAGAAAATAAG